AAAATTTGAGAAGGTCAGCCTAATAATTTTTCACTACTATTCAACAAATTTAAATGCTAAAAAATAATTTTAAAAGTTTAAAATTGTTTTTTAGCATTTAAATTTGTTGATTAGTTGAAATAATTAAATAAAAAAAATTACCACGGGTCACATAAAAAAAGATTGTTAATACTAGAAAATAATTTTTCAGTATCATATTTGTTTATGTATAGTCCAAGACTTGCACTCGTCATCCATGATCTCCTTTCACTTGGCCTTTTTTTGTTAGTCATTTGGAAAAATATGGGGCACGTATATGTAAATAGACTTTTTAGTAGGGGGGCATGATTCACGTTTACTCTAACTGTTTTAGTAGCTTTTTCTTAATTATTATATTGTACCAGTCCACTCGTGGTGCAATTCAAACCTTAATATACATATGCCTATGTCAAAGGATGGGAAGAAGGAGTGAATTAGTCGACATGTGATTAAATTAATTTGAACACCTTGAGCATTGAAAAAAAAAATAATTCGAATCGGGTTATTATCGAATGCAAATTATCAATAAAAAATATTAATTCATATCCGATTAAACGAATTCGAATTTAAATTTAAATCAGATTCAAATGAAAATCTAATTCATTGACCGGCTCACCTAGAATTGTATATTATATAATTATGTTATGATTTATAGAGATGAAGAGTGTACAAGGAAAGGGTTTAACCAAATGTTTGGAACCTAAATTGATCTAAAAATTTATAAAGAGTAACAATATTGATAGCACATAAAGAATTTTTACCCTCACACTAACTGTGCCATTGCCACATTTGAGCATATGCTATGTAGCATATCTCCAAAGTTGTACAGGCTTAACAGAACACATGATGGGTTTCTCTGACTCCTCCGGATAAGAATGGAATTCGAAAACAGCTTAACCGAGGACAAACGAAAAGAAATTTCGTGGTCAGTCGGTACACTTTGAAGCAAACAAAAAGACTGGCTACTTTATAAAATATTATCCAAGCTTGGAAGGTTCTGCAGGTGCCGTGGGACCTGAAGCCACGTGAATGATGCTTTCATTGCTCTTTTTTTAATCCTTGGTTTGGTTAGGTAGAAAATTGATGGGTTCTGTCCAGATCATGCTCAAAATTATAGACTAAATTTAGATTATAGATGTAGATTAATAAATGTTTCAAGGAGAGAGAATTCGTGGGGACATAGTCATTAAGGGTATATCTTCAGTCTTACGAGATCATCTTACACGTTAAGAGATAGAGCGAGCTTCAAGGAATCACATTGTTATCACCTCGCTCGTTACGAGAGTAAGACGAGCTTTAAGAAACCACCTCACTCTTTGTTACGAGGACGGCAAACTCAACCAAGTTGACTTACCTATAAATTGTAAGTTCCGTCTACAAATGAGGGCATCACACACATCTCAGTACACTACACATATTTAGTAATAAGATTCTCTAACTATTTTAACAATTTCTAGTCTTTGTATTTGTTTGTGTTGAGTCCTCTTTACTTTATTTTTGATTAATTTTGGCAAAATATCTTTTGAGCATCATAAAAAATGAAGATGAAAAGTGAAGTGAAATAAAATATATTTTTATGTATACATTTTGGTTAGTATGAAGTGTGTGTAAGAAATAAGGGTTACGAAAGTGTGTGTAAGAAATAAGGGTGAGACAAATGTGTGTGAAAGATAATTAGAGAAAAGAAATGTGTGGATGTTTTACTTAAAAGTTAGCTAAAATTTAGTTAATAGAAATAAACTATTAATATACCAAATCCTACATTTTCCTGGATTAAAAAAATACTACTTGAATCTAATTTAAGAATTTAATCAAATATAGTTATCAAATTAAAAGTGAATTTTCTTTAATATTGTAATTCACAACTAATTTAATAACAACAATGAATGACGTCCCTAAGAAATTATTCATTTATTAACAACATAAATTTAGAGTTTATTTGATTTGGAAAAAGAGTAGTTGATGTTGTAGTATTAACTTGGGCAATACTCTCCTGATAACCATCGGCCCAATTTTGGTTGTGTTGTAATGAAACTTGTACCAAGGATCACTTCGAAATTCTACGAGAATGGCCTTTTAGGGCGGGATCTAAAAACTCTCCAACTTGTTGTGGAGATATTTTGACTTTCTCAAGCTCATGTAAAACTTAACTTGCATTCACGCAATTATTCAAGTTTAACTGGCGTATTAACTAAGCCAAGCCAAATTGGGAAGGCCAAAAAAGAGTAATGAGTTAATTTTCGAAGGAATTACCACCCAAAGCTAACCCTAGCTCCTTCTAGGAGGTAATTCCTATTCGGAGAATGTCACACGCCCCACCTCTTAATATGTGTAATGGTTAATTAAGACTCACATAATTGGTAAGGATTCGAGCCTACACCCGAAGTCTGGATATGATTCGTCCAGTCAATGGAGACTCATCCTATTAACTAAATTGTGCTAACGTCCAGTCCAAGAGGGTGTCAAGTTTCGAACTCTTGACGCCTGAGTTTACAAGTCGCCCTTGTCAAATATCTTAGTGATAATATTTTTCATGTGTTATATACGCATTAAATTACAGCGCATCCGATCACAAATACATCGAGTGTGCCACAAAATATATTATTGAAAAACTAAATTTCGGAATGATAGTTTAAACGACGACGTCTTATTTGAAAATTTCATTTTGCGTAGTTGATGTCACCTTTTGGCTTTCGAATCAGTCGTTTCCCTCCGTACCCCTGGTCCAGTAGCAACCGTCTCTCGGAAGATCTATAGTTCAGAGGAAGAGGTTTGGAAACCAGAGAGAGAACTTCTGGTAGAATTGCACAGAGTTGGAAAAATAATGGCGGAGATACTAAGCCCTAAGGCTTCAAAGCAGAGACCTCCGACGGCGACGCGTCTACAATCGCCAACTAGTCCCTTCTTTTTGGCCTCAAACAATGATGAACTCGAACGAGCTCAGTCGCGGGCCGTCCGTGCCGCTGCCATTAGACGCAAAGCAATAGATTCAATTGCCGCTCCTCCTCCTACTCCGTCCGATCCTTGTCTTAGCAAAGATCAGATCGTTGAGTTGTTCCAAAATTGCATTAAGCTTGCGAGTGAGAATGTAAGCAAGCAATTACTCCCTCCGTCTGTCTCTCTTACAAACACACACTGTTGACAGTTATCAATACAATTTATTTAGGAGTTGTAATTGTATAGAAATTGAGTAGGATTAGATTTTCTCTTATTTATGCTTTCCTTGTATTTATCCTTTCCTATTTTTCTTCTTTTTGTATTGTGTATTTAACGTGGACAAAGTCTAATAAAAATCTGTTAAAGACTTTCACATCACAGTTATTGTGTTCTTGTTTTTGACATGGTATCAGAGCTATCCTGGAAATTTTAGGGTTGTTTCTTGATTTTATTGTTGTGTTTCCCGACTTCGGCCACAACTTAATCCTCTCCAATCATGGGTGAAAACACCCCAGTCAAACAAACTACTTCTGCCACAAATCCTAACAGCCCTTATTATCTCAACAACTCAGACAACCCTGGTGTTTCTATTGTGCCGAAGATTTTTACCGGAGACAATTATGCCACATGGAGTCGTGCCATGAAACTTGCATTGAGCGGCAAGAATAAACTAGGATTTATTGATGGTACACTAGAACAGCCCGATGCAGATGCACCTGCAAACGAACGCGCTTTGTGGCAACGTTGTAATGACATTGTTCATTCATGGATTGTCAGATTAGTTGCCGAAGAATTTCAAGATTCAATTTTTCGCAAAGATTATGCTTCTGACGCTTGGGAAGATCTACACGAGCGATACTCACAAAGTAGTAAGACTTATATTTATTAGGTCCGTCAAAATATATATGAGTTTCGTCAAAATCAAAATTCTGTTACAATTTATTTCAATAAATTGAAGGGATATTGGGATGAATTGAGAACATATCTACCTTCTTTGGCTTGTACTTGTGAAGTGGCTAAAACTCTTGCTGAAAGAGAAACAGATGAACAAGTCATGAAATTTTTAATGGGGTTGAATTCTACATATTTAGCAATTCGGGGACATATTTTACTTATGAAACCTATGCCTTCTGTAAATCAAGCTTATGCCATGGTTTTACAAGAGGAAAAGCAACGCGAAATTGCCGATACCAATAGTTCTTTGGATACCGCTGCCATGATTGCACGCCGAACTTCCGCCTCTAGCAACAATAATAGTCAGAAGCAGCCAAATAGTTCCACTCACAGCAGTGCCGTCACCCACTCTTCATTCACGTCCAAAAATGTGAGCCGACCAAGTTTTGGTCAACGGGGAAGGTGGCCTATTTGCTCTCATTGTCAAAGTCTTGGTCAATCTGGAATTGGGCATACTGTTGATACATGTTGGAAAATTATTGGCTATCTCGAGTGTCACAAGTTGTACAAAACCCCCGACACCAACAAGTCCTCTCGTCCTCAATTATCTGTAAATACCATCAATCCCATGTCCGAGTCTGACAAAGTTCCTAATTTTACACCAGAGCAATACCAGCAAATTATGACACTTCTCAATGAAGATAGTAGTACTGCCAATTCCTTTGCAAATGCTGCAGGTAAACTCCTTACTCCTCTTGTGTCTGCTGCTTCTTTCTCTTTACCGTCTCATTCTTGGATAATAGACACCGGTGCCACAGATCATATGGTTTCCTTGAATGCACAATTTTCGGCCTTGTCCTCCCTTCAGAAAAATCCCATCAAACTTCCCAATGGAAGTACTGTTCCCATTCATTCTAGTTGTTCTGTCACTATAGCATCAAATATGTCATTACATAATGTTCTCTACGTACCATGTTTTAATGTGAATCTCTTGTTAGTGAGTCACCTTACTAGAGACCTTAATTGTTCCGTGACATTTTTCCTAATTTTTGTGTGTTTCAGGACCTAGTCACGAGGAGGACGATTGGTTAGGGTAGAGAGGCCAATGGACTTTATATTTTTCAGCCACCAGAGCCACCTGCTCGTGCTCTTGCTACTTGTTCTACTGTTTCCGCTGAAGTTTGGCATCAACGCCTTGGACATCCGTCTCATTCTAGGTCTCAAGTATTATCTCAATCCATACCTCATATTTCTTTTAGTTCGTCTTTAGTTTGTCCCATTTGTCCATTGGCGAAACAGTCTCGTCTACGTTTCAATAATAGTGTTATTTCTTCTAATAAAATATTTGATTTGGTTCACCATGATATTTGGGGTCCTCAATCGGTGGCTTCTATAAGTGATGCTCATTATTTTTTAACTAATGTTGATTATTTTTCTCGCTGCACTTGGGTCTTTCTAATGACAACAAAATCGGATGCTGATACTTTACTCCAATCCTTTTTCCTGATGGTCGAAACCCAATATGATTGCAAGATTAAACAATTTCGTAGTGACAATGGCAGGGAATTTTTTTCCAATGAATTTATTGCTTTTCTTCGTGGGAGAGGGGTTGTTCAACAACATAGTTGGGTTGGTACTCCTCAACAAAATGGGATCGTTGAATGCAAGCACCGTCACCTCCTTGAGGTTGCTCGTGCGCTTCGATTCCATGCCTCTTTGCCTCTACGATTTTGGGGAGACTGTGTTCTTACCGCTGCATATCTCATTAATCGCATGCCCACTTAATTTTTACATGGGAAATCCCCTTATGAAGTTTTTTACCAAAAGCATCCTAATTATGCCAATCTACGTGTTTTTGGTTGTCTCTGTTACGCAACCAAACTTTCTCACACCAATAAGTTTGATAGTCGTGCTCGTCGTTGTATTTTTATTGGCAATCCTTTTGGTCAAAAAGGATTCCGCTTTTTTGACGTCGAGTCTCATCTGAGTTTTTGTCGGTCGCGATGTTATATTCCCATGAGACGAAATTTCCTATGGCTTCGCAAACAGCGAACACTGGACCACACTTTCCTTTCTCAAACCACCCAATTTCGTCCAATCCCTTTGACGAACAGGTCCCACCTTCCCCAATACCCCATTCCATTTCTCCATTACAGCCCACTATTACTACGCCCCAGCAAGCCACATCGACCCCACTAAATGACACTGTTCCACCGTCTAGTCCCATTTCTAATACAAAGCCATCCACCACGACTACTACTTCTCCTGTCCAATCTATTTGCCGTTCTACCCGGTCGCGACAGCTTCCAGCTCGTCTGCTGGACTATCATTGCTTCACTGCATCAGGCCCTCCTCACCACTCGTCCGCCTTGTCGCCGGGTTTTCTCCCCTCCTCAGGTACTCGCTATCCTTTATCTAATTTTGTCTCTTACAATCGTTTTTCTTCCACCCATCGTTCCTTTGTTGCTCACATAACTGCTACCACAGAACCCACTTCCTTTGAACAGGCAGTACATGACCCTCATTGGAAGGCTGCCATGTCTGATGAACTTGCTGCTTTGGAAGCTAATCACACTTGGACTCTATCCCCTTTACCTCCTCATAAGAAGCCTATCGGATGCAAATGGGTCTATAAAATCAAGCATAAATCTGATGGTACCATTGAACGTTACAAAGCTCAGTTAGTTGCCACAGGATTTACTCAACGTGAAGGTATTGATTACACTGAGACCTTTGCTCCAGTTGCTAAATTGACTACTATTCGTTGCCTTCTTGCTGTGTCTGCGATTAATAATTGGGTTCTTCATCAACTTGATGTGCACAACGCTTTTCTTCATGGCGACCTTGATGAAGATATTTACATGGCTCTCCCACCTGGATTTGGCAAACAGGGGGAGACTCGGGTTTGCCGTCTTAAAAAATCCATTTACGGCCTAAAGCAAGCTTCCTGTAATTGGTTTGCCAAATTGTCCTCTGCATTGCAATCTGCAGGTTTCAAAAATTCTAAAGCTGATTATTCCTTGTTCCCTCGTCAACATGGTAGTTCCTTCATTGCAGTTCTAGTATATGTTGATGATATAATTGTGGCAGGCAATGACCCCAAGGCGATCAGTAAGTTCAAAACTTACCTTCAATAAAAATTTAAAATTAAAGACCTTGGTATTCTCAAGTATTTTTTGGGTATTGAGGTGGTTCGTTCTCGCCAAGGTATTTTTATCTCCCAAAGAAAATACACTTTAGATATTCTATCTGATGCAGGATTATTGGGGCCCAAGCCAAGTAATTTTCCTATGGAGCAAAACTTAAAATTGTCAAATGATACTGGTGATCTCATCCATGATTCGGCCTCATACCGTCGTCTAATTGGAAGATTAATTTATTTGACGATTACATGGCCAGATATCACTTTGCTGTTCACACTTTAAGTCAATTCATGCAAGCTCCACGACAACCACACTATGAAGCTGCACTAAAAATTCTGAAATATCTCAAGGGTTCGCCAGGACAAGGAAATATGTTTTCAAGTTCGAGCTGCTTTACGCTTCAAGCTTATAGTGATTCAGATTGGGCTAGTTGTTCGATGACGCGACGATCCACTGCAGGTTTCTGCATTAAGTTGGGAAGTTCTCTTATTTCTTGGAAAACCAAGAAACAAACAACCATTTCGCGGTCATCTGCCGAGGAAGAATACTGAGCAATGGCGAATACATCATGTGAGGTGACATGGTTGTTTTATTTGTTACATGAGTTACGTGTTCCTTATATACGTCCTGCTATTTTATATTGTGATAATCAAGCAGCCATACATATAGCTGCCAATCCGGTATTTCATGAGCGAACTAAGCACATAGAACTGGATTGTCATTTGATTAGAGAAAAATCCAGTCAGGCCTATTGCAGACCAGACATGTTTCAAGCTTTCTTCAGTTATCTGATTTATTCACCAAGGCTTTGGGTAAAGTTCAATTTCAATTTCTTCTCAGCAAGTTAGGCATTCATGATCTTCATGCTCCAAGTTGAGGGGGAGTATTGACAGTTATCAATAGAATTTATTTAGGAGTTGTAATTGTATAGAAATTGGGTAGGATTAGACTTTCTCTTATTTATGCTTTCCTTGTATTTATCCTTTCCTATTTTTCTTCTTTTTGTATTGTGTATTTAACGTGGACAAAGTCTCATAAAAATCTGTTCAAGACTTTCACAACACAGTTATTGTGTTCTTGTTTTTGACACACACAAATTCCGTTCATATTCTTCTCTCTCTTTGCATGATATTCGCTATCTCTGGCTATTTGATGTTACCAGTTTCTCTTCCCTTCCTTTATGACGTGACTTATGTTTCTCTAATATTGTTTCTGTTTAGAAATTCTTTCTGAGTTGGAATTTCTCAAATGATCATTTCTTGGTTTTGGACGAATTCTTCTCATTATCATTTGTTTGTTGGTAAGGTAGAAAATAAACCAAAAGAACAGTTGGGAGCTGAAGCTTATAGATCATCTGAGCGAGATTATTCAACCGGTGGATGATGCGGAGACAAATTTTCTAAAGGTTTGGGTGATGTTCATTTACCCATTTTTCTAAGGAGTTAAGCAAATATAAGAATACCTATTCAATAAGTTAGTTGTTTACTGGTTGATTACTTTTTAATGACCAGGCAAGTTGCACATTGGAAGCTGGAGTGAAAATATACTCTGAGAGTGGATTCAGTTCACTCAGAAGCATATAAGGTGCTTGGTCGAATCATTCGAGCAGGAGGAGAAGATGAACAAGGTTTGGCATTTACATGAAGTTTTTGTGCTTAAGCTAATATTAATTAGTGTGATTTTTCCTAATTTCGATGTTAGGGTGTGATAGGTGAGCAATAAGTCGTTGAGCTATTATGAGTCTCAAAATTGTTTAGTTTTCAAATGGAAACAAATTTCTTCTGTATTGCTTCAAATAGGAACATAACATGCGTCTAGTTTGACTTAGTTTTTGAAGCTAAAAGGCATACCTTTGGATTAATCTAAGCTTATTTTCTGGATTGATAAGGTGATATGGAGCATATAGTACAGACTCTAGTCCTATAGTTGGCAACATAATCTACTTGAATCGAAAAGTTTTTGTTGCTCCATGGTGTTAGCACATTCTAACTGTTCACCCATGTATTTCTTGCATGGGTGCACCTGAATTTTTTCATAGTAAAGAAACTAGTGATTTCAAGCTCTACATATGTGAGAAAGTAGAATTTTATCATGCATTGTGTACACGATATCAAAATTCTAAGTATAGACAAAGCAAGGGAAGAACCAATATACTATTTTATTTTACAATATAAACCAATAAGATCACAATCTGAGGAACTAATAATGTTGCCCTACAAATCAAGTTCCCAGAGGCCATCACTTTTCAAATGCTTGTAACGAGACAACATGCTTATCTCACATTTTTTGAAAATACAAATTACGAGTTGGGGACATGCAATGCCCTTGCACAATGTCACTCTGGTGGTGGTGGTTGTAGGTAGTGTTTGTTCGTCAAATTCAGGTGCAATACTATTTTAAAGATTTCAATAAGGTATCTTTGTGACTGGAGTATGATATAGGAATTACTAGTAGTCACAACTAATAATACGCTCACCAATTGTTTTATTAAGGAAAGAACACAGTTTACGAGTTTTTCTCAGAAAATAATTGTTTATGGCTATGAAAAATTGTGGCTAGTGGTGGAGCTTTTTCATGTAATTTTTTTTCTATAACTAATGCACTGGCATAGGTATGATTATTTTCTTCAACTCGCAGCATCTTGTTGCACGGAGGGAGGGATCAGACTTCTGTTCATTTTTGCAATTTCTTATGTTGTGGGTGTGTGACAGAAACTGTGTCAGAGGGTGATAACATCAAGAATGGACAAGATGAGGGTCGTTCTATGAAAGAGATAGAGATGAAGGTTGTTAGTTTTCTATTTCTTCAGCAAGCTAATGCTTAAGACTGCATCTCATGAGAATTGCTTGTGCAGATGTCACCTTTGTCGACACTGGAACCATCTTTTGAAGCTCTGAATGTGAAGAAGTTCGATGGTAATTTATTATTATTCTTGCCTCTTTTTAATCTATGATTTAGTTGTGAACTTCTTCTTATTCTTCTTCTTTCTCTCCCTTTTGATAATTGAGATTCTTCTCTGGCTTTTCCCAGTTGCATTTGCAGTGGATCCTCTTTATCACCAAACATCTGCACAATTTGATGAAGGTGGAGCTAAGGGTCTCTTATTGAATAATCTTGGAGTTTATGGAGGATGTCGAGTACTATTTGATTCCCTAGAAGTACCAAGAAAGTGTATGTCATGTTCAATTCAAAACACTAATTCCGATATGATTGATATCTCTTTTGCCAGAGGTGTGTAACATTGCTATTGTGGGCAATCTCATTTTTTTTTTAATCACCTGGGCTCAAAATCCAATTTTCCCCCTCATTAGCTGCTTGCTTGTTCTTATTACAGAATACGTTGAACAGATGCTCATGAATATGCCCAGAAAAAATGAAATTTCTCCAACTTTCAGGAAAATAGTTTGCCAATTTGAAGAAGATAATCAAAAGTTTTCACATGCATTTACTGAAGGCCAGAAATCTGCAGTTATGGCTGATTCTGTTGAGGACATTAATCATCCTGTGAATGATAATCCATCTCGAAGCTTTGAGACAGGGAACTTTGGTCCTGATGAGGATGCAAGTGTAGTTGATGAAAGCTTCAACTTTGGAGATACAACTTCTTTAAGTCATAATGAGGTATGTCTCACATTCTTCACATGAAATGGTTTCAGTTTTCGTTACTCTGATAACTTGTTTCTTATTCTATCTAAGTTTCAAATTCTTGCTTTAGATTCTTTCTCGAAGAGGAGAGGAGAAGATTAAGTAGGAAGAAAGTGTATTCAAATTTGGTTGTTTTTTCTGTGTAGGAGAGTCATTGCTATGCATCCTATGAGGCTGATGTGGAAGGAAAATATGAGGAATTTGCTTTATGTTTGTTTCATGGGTTGGGATTCACTTCAAAATGAAATGCTTGGGCTGGTCCTGATCATTGGAAGTATCGGAAGCCCAAGGGTTGGTACAGGCAGTATCATTGTGCTCAAACTGTATTGGGGGTTTTGGTTTTCAGTGTGATATTTATTTTGTAGGTTCAGAAGAATTTCCTGCCACCAAAAGCAGAACAGGTTTGTCAACAAAGAGGCCAACGGACAGTACACCTCTGGAACTTGATATTGATTTTATTAAGTTTCTGGATCAAGAATTTCCAGGTATCTTTGCTCCCCCAAAAAATCCCAGGTCGCTTCTGCTACCTGCAAATAGAATGCCTGGGAGTAACACACTTCCTGAAGATTGCCATTATCAACCAGAAGATCTTGTCAAGTTGTTTCTTCTTCATAATGTTATGGTACTGTAAGCTTATCCAAAACTACTGTTAGATCATATGCTATCCACAGGCTTATAGTATGATATGTTGTGTATAACATTGTATAAACTCTCATGAGGTTATATAATTATACTCAGAGACTTGAAGCCAGGCTGATTAGGCCAGCCTGAGCTTACCTCAGAGCTCTCAGGATTTTGATGTTGAGCTCATACAGGTCTAAAATCTTTAAACTAGCTCTGGTTTCCTCCATACTATGGGGTGATTGATGGGGTTCATGCTATACATCTCAAGTTATTGTCTAAATTACAATCATTGCTAAATTATGTTTTCCGGTTGATAAATGATACTGTTTTATTTTCCAGTGCTTTGGGGGAAGAAGAAGAAAACTTTCAGGTATGAGTTTCTCCCTATGATAGGTGTTTTTTTTTTCTTTTTCACTTTGATGTGTACATGGAGCAATAGAATGATTTTATATACATTTAATTTTTGTATAATTTACCATGAATCAAGGGAGGACCACATTTGTCTCTCACCTTACATTTTATATGTATAATCCTAAGATGTGTACTGAAAACATAAAGGGTTATGTCAGTAAACACAAAACCATGAAGGGGTAAATTAATGGAACATTTAACTCTAATTGCTCTTAACTCAACCTCCTCCTACTGCTATTAAATTTATCTTGCTGCTCAAAAGCTACCCGTTTCTAAACTATGGCATTGCATGCATTACGTGTCTGCGTTTTAAACCCACATTGTTATACCAACCGAGCTTTACCTTTTTGCCAAGTGATGGCCCGTAAAAAAGGATGAGATCTTTACATGTTTGGGTTACATATTTATATTGATATAGTGGAGTACTTGTATCTGAGAAACAATGCTAATGTTAGCATCATTCGGCTTGTCTTTCTAGGCAGGGAATTCTAATAGAGATTATGTTTCTGGGTGACCAAGTTATCTAGCGGAGTCTGGCAGAAGTCAGTACACTCTGTCCAATAATGAATGATGCGAAGGAGATTTCATAATCTGTTCTCCTTTGCTATTTCATTCTATTGACTCTTTTGTGGTTTGTCTATTTTGACTATAAGGTGTTTCTAGGACACTAATTTGACCTTGCTGTCAACTTTGTGTAGGATCTGTCTTGCATTTAGTTTTAATTGTTTAATCTAGGTAATAGTGTGCTTCTTTTACTTATGGCATATAATGCCTCTGGGAGGTACAGTTAGATAATTGAATAAATGGCCTAAATTCATTTGGGGCTCGGACTTGGGTCAAAAAAAGATAGAAACAGAGAAGACTTAATTAACTTGTTAAAAAATGTTTTCCTTCTTTTTCCTGCTTAGATGATGGCTCATGGCAACACAACAATAATTTTGATGAACAATTGCCTACATGGGACAATGACAATCTGTTTGGTGGCCAATATGATGATGACTGTGTCCATAGTGATCTGGAAGATTCAGACGGACTTGTCTCTCATCCTCGTCAGGTCTGTTTGTGTTTGATAGTTCCTTTTCAATATACATTATTTTCCAGATCAGCCGGATTCCAAATAAGTTATTTCTCAGGGAAGTGTTGCAACCTTTATGGAAGCTGTTTGAACTTTCTTTCCCTTGTGTTTTCTTTGTAAGGATCACCATAACATTGTAAATTACTATCTAAATTTTCTTATTATCAGCAATGCAATTTTAATGGTCAAATATTTGAATGAATTTTCATCATGAGGTTATGGACATTATGTTTGGGCATTGGTAAAGATAGATTGACCATATTTCTCTGGAAATTTTGGACTAATTCGCCATGTCATCTTAACAACTCAGGTAACTAAGATTGAAGTTCAGTATGACAAAACTTCTAAACAAGTTGATGTGCATGTGCTCAGGGAAACCCTTTGGGATCACATACAAGAATCTGTTCGCGTGCCAGAAACAGTAAGCTTACACCTACACATCTTTTTTACATGTTCAACATATAGTCTTTATCTGACCCAAAAAAAAAAAAACATGTAGTCTTTATATTCTATCACATAAGTTTTCATCATTTATACTTCTGATGGACTTGATCTATATTTTTCGAGTCATGACAGTCAATAGCTCCTCACATTATAATTGTTGGCAATGGAAGTTGGCAATTCCAATTTTTGTTATAAGCCAACATCAGTTCAATTGCTTACCTATCGGGACTTAAATTCTTTTAAACTAGTCGTTTTGCATTTATGGATGGAACATTTGTAACAATCTGCTTCTGTTGATTTTCTGGTAGACATTTCTTATATTGTTTAAGACATGCGTATTTGCTTGTCATTCTCGTGGTTAGCTCACCATTGGATCTGTGTGAGTTGATATTGGTTTGTTATTACAGATAATTTGTTTTTTTTGTTGCAAGGTTTGCAAGGACACGGTATCTTTTAAACATGTTCTAGCCACCTTTCCTGAAGAATGCCAAACTGCACAGCCGGAGGATATTTCGCCTCATCTGTGCTTCATTTGCCTATTGCATTTAGCCAATGAGCATTGTTTAAGCATCACTAACTGCCCCACCTTCGATGAACTCACTATTTACCTTCCTTCTCATGGAAAACACGCATGAAGTTCCCCATGCACCTCATAGTAACAGCGCATAATCGTTCCGAGAGACAAATGCAATGAAGAGTAGCAAGCTTTTCCTAGCATCAAGTTTTTGGCCATTCTACACAGGATATGCAAGGTGCAGATATATATATATATATAGTAATCGGTTCCACTTAATTTTGTGTATATCTGTGAACAAATGCATTGAAAGCATATGCTGCATCATGTTAAGGCATATGAAGTTTCAGTAGAGTAGAAGCGGTCTGGGTTGCAAAACTGCACCTCCTTCTATCCTTTTCCTTCTATTCCACCACCCCCCAAAAACCTCCCCCACCACAAAATAAGAAATTAGCCAAGGTTCGCCCCAAAGAGAAGAGTTAATTGGATTAGCCTTTCTGTTATTGGTAGATATGGCTTTTAGGACGGTGCATGCTCAAACACTGCCTTTTTGACGTAGCTGCGGGACTGTCAAAACTGTTTAAATGCTTTTTCTAGGGGAGAAAACTACTGTCACTATTCCTTCAGTTTAGAATGTGTTTAAAAATTAGGAGATTGCTACTTGGTACACAGGAGCTGGGAAGTTTCAGCTAGTAATACAAAGTTATTAAGACTTGATTGATGTTAAGTTATACCTCTAAAAGGTTAATACTGAGTCAATTGAGATTAATTTACAACTCAAATAATTAAAATTTGATGCAAAAGTGTTAGGATAAATATTATTAATTAGAAGTATGAATTGATCTTATTGAGTCACAATCAAATCTTATTTTTTGGAAAATATATCTAAAAGTGAAAGTCTTATGTTTTTGTCGTTGTTTTTGTGAGCAACTTTTGCTTGCTTTATCCATTTAGATTATGTAGTACGTTAATAAAGCTGCAAAAAACAGTGGGAAAGCTTTGAACAATTTGGATATAAAGTACTGGACTGAACAAAAACATCGTAAAGGATTGGCCAAAACTTGGTCACAGGTGAGCAACTGGATTAACTACACACGCTGCACTCGACGTCACGTTCGTTTCACTTTGTTGACTTACTTTTAGAGTCTCCTATGATCTATCTAAGTAGTACTTGTATATGGCACCTACGAAAATCGTATTGATATTTATTATTATTATTATTGTTATGACATCGAATATAATTGATAAAAATAGTTATAATAGCTGAAGTGAAAATACGCACAAAAATTATAAAATTATTTACAAAAAGTAATAATTTTTTTTGTATTGAAAGAAAAGTAATAGAAATAATTATTACAAAAGTGACAAAAATATTTATAAAAATAATAAATTATCCATTTTTAATGCTCTTCGAAGTGTTTAAAGGCCAACTAAGAGATATTTAGACCTTTAATAGCACCCGTTTAATGTTTGTGGTCAACACATAATCATTCTTATTACAACAAATTTGTCACCTAATTATCAAGGCAAAAATTTTAAACGATTGATAAGTTTTGAACGCTCGACTTTCTTTATCCTACGACAGTGGCCTCCAAGGATACAAAATAACATTTGATCATTTCAAAATTTTGTAAGTGGGGGTAGGTTTAAACTTTCGGCTAATGTTATGATCTGAGAGGCCCAAAATAAGGCCGGAGTATACCATATGAGAAGAAAGTGGGTCGCAAAACCGGATAGAGGGGGACCACATGGGCAATAAGATAAGTGGGATTTGGCTGGAAGAGAGAGATTCCATTAGAAACTTTTATACCACCCACCAAGGGCCCAAAGAAAAGATCCGAAAGGCCTCTTTTGATTCCACCGTGGGACAGTCTTTGTATCTGACTAGTGTATTTTTTTTTTAAAGTATTTTTTTCAGTATATTTTTTTTAATTAAGTCTAATTTAATATATCGGATTTCAAATGACCCTATTATCAATCTTATTGCTTATAAATCTTGGGTTAATTATAATTTATCCCTTTCAACTATGTCTCTTGTTACAATCAACTCCTTATAATTTTAAATGCTACAATTTGTCCTTTCCAAGACAATAGTGGTTGAAATATAAAAATATTATTACATCCTCCATCTTATACAATATTTTTCATATTTTCTTTGCCTTCGCCTTCATCCTCGCCTCAGCCTCCACCCAACACTGTGGGACAGTCAACTATGTCTCTTGTTACAATCAACTCCTTATACAAGATAGAAGTGGTTGAAATATAAAAATACTATTACATCCTCCATCTTATACAGTATTTTTCATATTTTCTTAGCCTCCGCCTCCGCCCAGTACCAATACAAATGCGCACACATTTTATCAGGGGTAATCATGTATTTTTAACAAAGTAGAGATCATATAAATTTTTTATGTCCAACTTATCTCATTTTTTATGGTCTAAAATTAATTGTTGGAGTTAATTATAAAATAAAGGGAACTATTTATTAAAATTAAAATTTCCCAAAGTTGAAAGGGATATTTTGTAATTAACCCTATAATATTACCATAAACATTAGATTTGCCGAGTTACTGAAAGCCGCCATTGTCGGTTTCTCAAAAACCAGAAAAAGTGGTCGAGGGAATAAGAATAGGAAAATGGCCTTTCTTCTTCTTCTCCACCGACCTTATCTGAAACTGCCCAATTGAATTCAAATCTCTTTCCCTCTTTTGCATGTACTCTTGTCTCCCTTCCTCCCTCTTACCCTTTTCCTTACCTCTCTTTCTCTAACAAGGTGGTGGTAGTGGTAATGGTAGTGATAGTTCATGAAATATGACTTGTTCTTATCCAATTTTTTCATACATGAATTTTGGTTATTTTTGGTTTGGAGGAATCACAAGATTAATTAATTTTTTCCTAAATAAACAGGTGAATTTTAAGTACAATGCATCTAAAGATCTAGAGTGGTACATTTATGTTTTATTTGGTTCAACGATTAAAGATGTTCGGGGTTAGGTTATGCATACTTCGACTAAATTCCTTCTACAGTTTCGTCAAAGACAAGCCATTTCAGGATGTCTGAGTTTATAATTCGTCTCTATTATAACTTGAATTACCCTTGGAATAGGTGTGGTACATTTGATTCAGTGGGTCAGTGACATGAGATTTGGATTATCTACGACAAAATTTAATCATTCATCATTTATTTATTGATTGTGGTTAAAGCCTAGTAAATTTAATGATGCATGATTGTACAAGATATGATCAGGAGGCTTCAGACTCGTGGGATTAATTATACTTAGGACTTGACGGTTCGAATTGTAGAATTTTGCTACTTGCATAGTATGGACCAAATTTAACAAAATTTATTCCTCTACTTGAATTTGTGCTAGTGGGATCCAGCAAGCAAGTATCTAGTTCTGTGAACACAAAAGACATCTAAGATTCACTTTTTTTTTTTTTTTTTGGAGTTAACCGGTGGGGATATTTAGATCAGTTTATGTATACAAGACAAATCATCTACGACATGATTATGATATTTATGAGGAATAAATCTTTCATAACAAAGTATTGTCAAAATTTAATTTCTAAAATTCTGAATTTACATCTCATTCCTATTATCGCTTGAACTCTTATATTCCTATGATTATCTATTCAGCTGTCTGTCACCAAAAAAAATAATTTTAAATAGCTCTACCATCTCTGGCAAAATTTTAAACAAAAATTCTTAACAGAAAAACATTGTTATTTCTAAAAATCTTTAGTTAGAAGTTTTGTACGAAATTTCTAATTACAAACAACTTTTTTTTTTTTGGAGGGGGAGGGGGAGGGGGAAGGGGAAGGGAAAGAGACTTGAACCCTTGACCTCAAGAAGACAAAATTTTAATAAAACAAAGAGTATCATTAAACCAAATGCCCATTAATACTTGGTTGATCAACACCGATTTCATAGTGGTGCGCGTGGACTCGTTATTAAAAACAGTTAGTTTATGGAGTAATGCTATTGAGACCTAAAAATTTGATCTAATTTATTGACATAATGATGTGACTTCATATGAATCTGTGGATCAACACCAAATTTTAATGTTTGATGGGGTTTATAATCAATCCAAAGATCACAATAAATTATATCAGTAAATTAGATCAATTTTTTAGGGCCAATAGCATTCCTCAAGTTTATGTTTGCATATTGTTATGTTATTACATTTTTCTCTGTTTAAGTGCGAGTTTAAAGCCCTAGTAGGAGGATAAAGAGATAAAGACCCTCGTCACTGGCCCGGACACCTCATCACCCTCATTACAGTACAATTTTCTCACTTTCTTTGTCTCTCCCACTATATATATGTCCATAGGCCCCTCAGAATTTCTACTACCCCAGAATACTATTGCCTTTTGCAATATTGCCTTGTCCAACATTCAGACCATCCTTTCACAGAAGCCATGGAAAACTTCAATAATTCTCAAATGCTAAAGCTCTCTTTTATAGCTACACTCCTCATTGCACCTCTTTTATCCCCATCACTAAGGCCTGCATATATCTACTTTGTTGTCAATCTTCTCATTATCGTCCTTGGAGCCGAAGCTGGCCTTCTATCTTTCTTCTCCAAAGCGACAGATGACAAGAAACACGCTGTCGTGATTGCACAAAAACCTGTGGTTGCATCAGAGGTTTCTCCTGTTAAAGGGGATGTTGTTAATACTACCATTGGGACGGCCACTCTGGAATATAATCAGAATAAGGCCAAGGTGGTGGAAAAATGTTCATCTGAGAAGATTGTTGGAGTGGTTACTGTGCATAAGGTTAAGAAATGTCCCTCTACACCAAGCATCTTCTTCATAGGAGGTGCGGAGACAGAAGCAGAAGAGGTGATAGATGATGATGATGATGAAGAGGAGGTTGCGGGCATTAGTGGGCAGGAGCTATTCAATAAAGCTGAGACATTTATTGGCAACTTCTATAAACAGTTGAAGATGCAGAGAGAGGAGTCATGGAAGAAAATTCATGGGCTTTATCACAAAGCCTTTTGAGCAGTACCCTTTCTTTCTTTCTAGTATGTAGCATATGTTAAGTGTAGGGTCATTGGTTTGTGGGATATTGTTAAGCAGAGGGGAATCCATAGCATTCTATTTATGGTTCTTCTAGGCTTTGGGGTTGTCTAGATTTTCTGTTGAGAGTTGTCAAGTGGTCATGCCTTTTTTTGCCTCAGACATATTTCTAAAGAGGTGATTAGTCGAGTTGGGTAGTTCATACAAATTTTATATGGAGTGACATTGCCCAATATGACATGTAGGCTGGTCTCATGTAGTTTGGTCTGTACATGGGTACTAAATGGAATACAAATTATGATGGTTTATGATAAATGCTCATATTTTATTATTTCACCAGTAGCACTGATTCTGTTTGTTCTTCACGAATCTTGGTGGAAATTTGAAGCTATTCCCTTCTTTGCACTTGGTCTGATATTGTTAAACATGAGAGTTTGCTTCTATTAAGTAAAGAGATGTTCACTGATCCACAGTAGCTGTTCTGATCGCTGGTATACTTATTAATTCAAGGAAACTTCTGCACTTTGTTATCCTTGCCAACAAATTTACTACTTTGCTCAGTTCTTGAGAGAACTCCTTCCAGAATCTCTTCGAAAATGTTCATACAAAAAAGGTTGCATAGTGGATTAAACGCAATATAATGTCAAATACTTGTCATCTGCATTACCTATCAGAAGCCAAAAGTCTAATAGGACTTGAATATATATAAGTAAAGGGTAAAATTGATACACGCCAAGTAGGTTATATTTAGATGAGTTCACAGAGTTCAGCAAAGAAATGAACTATAGTGTCCTTAGCGCAATAGAGACTCCAAATGTGACATTAGGGATACATATTGACAACTTGACTATGATACTCCAAATTTGAATTATCGATGCTTAAGCCAATGAGGAGCAGACTAAATGGATATCGGTATGGTAACTGAATAGAAGTCGAGATTTGTTGAGGTAGAAGACTCATTGATATGCACCAAATTAAAGAAGGGAGAAGACTCTTGTGTTTATTGTTATTAGATTTTTAGTAGAAACCAATCTATGGAATCCAAGTAATCGATGTGACACAGCTTGGACTATTGTTCACTGAAAGTATTTATCAACAAGTTAGATAAATGTTTAATTCGACTGGAGCCTTATACACAACAGTTCAGGCTAAGTAAGATACTATTATTCTTTCTTATTCTTCTTTAATTGTTTCTGATCATTTTAGTTTTGAGATTTTCCTTCCCACAACTAAAATTGTATTTGTGGGTGGATGAACTATCTTTCCCTTCAGAAGATCACCAACTAGCTCCCACTAAATGCCTTCTCTTCTCCCCCCTCAATGGCAGAACCTTTTCGAAATTTTTTATCTTGTGTTATAAGACTATATATGTCATTCTAGACTTTTCTATGTATCTTTTGCTTTTATTTTCAATTGATGGTCAAAATTCTTTGAACATTTGGAGATGGGGACCTCAATACATTGAACACTTTTCCGTTTAGTTATTTAATGATAGATTGTTTAGGCAAGGATTATTTCTCAACTGTTGACAGTTCCATATTATTAGAAATTTGGTTTATGAAAAAAAAAAAAAGAAAGAAACAAGTTGGCAGCTACTTCACAATATTTTGCTTAGAGAATCACTTTCTCTCTCAAGTAGGTAGCTTATCTGCTCTTAGGCTATTTGGGTGGTGTCAGTTTCCTGGGAATGTTCTTGATATTTTATGTAAGTTTGCTAAGATTTTATCTTTTTGAATGTTTTTTTTTCTTTTTGTTATAAAGTTGAACACCTTTTTCTCTTTTTATCTGTGGTGGTGGGTGGAAAACAGTGACATATTCTTTTGAATTCAGACTTCAAATTCCATTTTTGTTCTGGCACTTGATAATCCATAGGGAGGCTGCTTACACAGCATGATCACATCCTTATCTTGCTTTTCATGGTTGCACTGATGCTCTTATGGTCCTTTCACCTATAGACAGCCATTTTGATGCCCCCATTCAGTTAAGATTCTTGTGTTGATTTTCCTAGATTTCACCACTTTACGAGACTTCTCTAACTTTATCTCTCATTTACAGTGATTTCTATCTTATTAGCAAAGTACGAGAGTTTTTAGAAAAACATGAGTTTAACTTGCACTTTAATAAAAATTATCTAGTTTGGTAAACAGTAGTATGCACCACCCTAGGTTGATCATTGATTCTTAATTTACGCCCCCTCTCTCTCTCTCACACACACACACTAGATAGTAGGCCAGAACTGGAGTTTAGATGTAGCTGAACCCAGCTCAGTCTAACCAGACTTCCTGTTGAGTAGGAATAGAAGTACTTTCCTGAACAAAACTGAGAAAGCCAAAAAAGAAGTGGCCACAATTGAGTATACCTTCAAATCTTCAGCAACTAATAGTTCCTAACTAGAAGCAACTGCAAGCCTTCTCTGGATAATTTTTTACTTGTAATGAAAACAAGTAGATTTCAAAACTCAAAAAAAAGCATAGAGGAGTTTACTTCAAAGAAATACTGAAAATTATACCTCTGTTTAGATGGTCTATGATAGTGTTGCCACAATCTCAAATCAAAGAGGGTAGTGTTCCAAATGTTAATGAATGATAAGGCCATGCATTTTATATAACCTATGAAGCATGGATACTCCTTTAAGATCAACTATAGGATACAATACTCATGAATACAGTAGGGTGAAATGTGAAAATTTCTAATCTTAGGGCATCATTTATAAAATTCTGCCATAATCTTTGGAAGTGAGCTATGGACCTCAATGATGCTGAGCATCAGGGTACAGATGCCATGAAATTGATGTTAAGTCTTAACAGAAAAATAGTTTAAATAATGAGAAGTGAAAGATGCCTTTCCCAGAGATGTTATATTAATGAACTAAAAAAAACAAGTCCTAATCAATAACCATCCCCCAAAAGAATAAAGCTTGTAGTTCAGCACCTTTAAAATAATGCTTAGCCAGCAAAAACCCAAACATGCTTTTGCAGTTCAGCTCAATCTTCACTTTCCATGCATGGTATTTTATGGATATGTAAAGATTAAATTATATAATTATAGAATACAAAGGGGAAACAGAAGAGAAGACTAAGAGAATTGCAACTGTCGATTCTTCACCTTCAGGACTCAATTACTTCATACGAAGTTACATCTTGTTAAAAAAAAAAATGGCGCCCTAATACTTGAGGTTCCCACTACTTGGGGGGGGGGGGGTTGGGTTCTGGGAGAGACAGATGTGCACAGCTTTACTCCCGCATAAGCAGAGACCTCTTTTGCGAAGCTAGGTCAATATAAAATAATCAGCATAAAGAAACTGTGGTGCTGATCAATTTTAAGGACTACCTTCTTAAAATCCATATTTGCAAACGGGCTACCAAGCTGCCAGGGCTGTGGATATTGATTGGTGCATAGTCTAACTAGAGAATTAATCTCAAGGGCTGCTACATACCATGGGACTTCATCTTGCACATTTCAAAACTCAAAACTTTTGTAATTATGCATCGTTAGATTTTAGTATTGTACCTGCAGAACTGTCACAGAAAACCGAAACCAGAAGATAATGTCATACTAACTCCACTTATACATGAGTCGCGAAACTATGGTTTCCATTTCCTATGCCTACAGGAGGGCCTGCAACAGAACACCTCAATATTCTTCTTTTGCCCCTTTCTAAGGACAGTTTTCCATGGTAGGAGGGGCTTTTGGCAAGGACTCGTACCTGTCCTTTTTTTTTTCTCGATTTTAATAAAAGAGGAAGACAATATATCATTAGATTGTTGTAGAGTGAAAAGCATCAAGAAAGCCACAGAGTTCTCTGCTTCTTTTCCTTCATATTTGAACATCCAAAATCTAATTCTAGAACATGCTTTTTTTAGTGCCGTCCTCTTAGGGAAAAATACAACAGAAAAAAAATGGACATTATAAAGTTGTTTACTCTTTGAAGATTGATACTTATTCTAATGAGCTTGTGGCTAGCTTCACTCTTCAATACAACTACTTGTTCAGGACAAAAGATATGCCAATTGGAAGAAATATTATAATCCAACAAGGCAACAACTAATATAAAAAAGCATGAGAATGTTGTTGCATAAGATTTGCCCGCGTATGCCATTTCATTTGTTTATACACACGAGCCAGAATTATGATTTGGTAGCAGTACATAGTCATGAATAAGTATTCAAGAGGGTGAGCTCATCTACAATGTTTATACCACAACGTGCCATACTCCATAACAAGGACTCATCGAGTCCAATATGAATCTTGTTAAGAGTATTAATGATTACTTAATAATATAAGCCAAGAACTAAGAGCCATCTAGGAACATAATATATATGCTTGATTAGTAGTCACCAAGAAGATGCTTTAAAAATACAGTTAAAAGATTCTGGGTCAAGGGTAGAATATATTTAAAAGTTATCAAGATGAAAGAAGGAAAACATTATGATAGACAAATGGGACACCAGGTAGAGAAGAAACAAAAATGGTATGACTCAAAAGGAATTGACATCCCAGCTGACAATTATGTACTATTCATGTATTACCTTCATCGTGTTCTTTTCTCTTTTAATAGACGGGAGGTTCTAACAGGATTTTGGATTGACAAACGATGGAGAAGGAGCCTAGAAGGCTGGTTTTTGGTGCAACTTCAGTAATCTGCCTACTTGTTCTTCCTTTGCTATATGCTGAATTTTTTGCATTGAATCCTGTTCCATTTGATCGAAGTAATTGCACATCTTTAACTTGCAGGCATTACATAGTTTGTAATTTTTCTCAATGTTTTTTTATTTCTGAGGAAAAGTTAATGTTTCTGAGCTGATTTTCTTCTGAAGGTAGGGATTCCTTGGAAATGGTAGGGATGGCACACTTGTCAAATTTGAGTGTAAGTATCAGCAGCAGAAAATTTGGTAAAGGAGTAGAAGAGAACAAGTCCCTGAAATCTCTGTTAAGAAGACTAGTGAGAGGTTCTCTCTTTTCTCTTTTTCTTCATTTTTTAGTTTCCCAGTACTCCTAGATTATTGCATGCCTTCTAATAGAGCAATTGTAATGGACATTTTAAACGTTCTGGTGTACAACAGATCCAATGCAAGGTTTTTATTATCGATTTCTAGTTGTTAACATCAAATTAATGTTGATGAATGCAAACAGGAGAAGATCTAACTAAGCTTGAAGCCACTGGATTTGCATGTGATTCAGCCATTCACTCAGTTGTCTGCATTGCAAATCAACCTGTAAGGATCGACACACACACAATGACTGTTCATGCACCATCTGATCAACCTATGGTCCCTGGTAGAAGCGTGGTTCGACCATATGCAAGGCAAGACGATGATAATCTTCTGAAAACAATTACACCAGTGAACATACTTCATGGAAACATAACGCCACCAGCTTGTCATTACACCCACAATGTCCCAGCCGTGATCTTCTCATCCAGTGGCTTCACAGGAAACCTATTCCATGAATTCAATGAAATCATCATCCCTTTGTTCATAACAACTCGCCACTTTAAATCCAATGTTCTTTTCATCCTTATCGATTACAGGCCTTGGTTTGTCAGCAAATATCACAGGATTTTCTCACGTTTGTCTCAGTATGAGGTTATGAATCCGGCCGCAAATATAAGTGTACATTGCTTTCCAGGAGCTGTAGTTGGGCTAAAGTACCATGACAATCTGGCCATAAATTCCAGCGAAATCCCAGGAGGGTACTCCATGCCTGACTTCAAGGAATTCCTGAGAAAATCGTACAATCTGAAGATAAAGAAAGTGTCAGAGATAGAAAGACCAGTGTTGGTCCTAATTTCTCGTCGGAAAACCAGAATGTTCCTGAATGAAGATGAAATGATTGGTATGATGAAAGAGCTAGGCTTCCAAGTTGTGGTTACCACGAGACCCAACAGGATGTCAAATTTGAACAGATTTTCCAAGGTGGTGAATTCAGGAAGTGTACTGGTTGGAGCTCATGGTGCTGGCCTTGCAAATGAACTGTTCTTATCAGCCGGGGCAGTAATGGTGCAACTGATGCCACTGGGGCTCGACTGGCCCGCGAATGCCTTTTATGGCAACCCAGCTCGAGAAATGGGGGTGCACTACTTGGAGTACAAGATCGAACCGGAGGAGAGCTCACTACTCAAGCTGTATGGACGAGATCACCCCGTAATTGTTGATCCAGACTCTATTTTCGCAAAGGGGTACCAAGCTGGCAGGGCAGTGTACCTTGATCAGCAGAATATGAAGATCAACCTTGTGAGGTTTAGGGAGACCCTTGTTGAAGCATTAAGACTTACTGGACGCTTAGCTCCTTCAAGTTAGTGTACTCTTCATGGATGATTCTTTCATTAGGCTCTTGAGGATCTAGGCAAAAAATAGGGTCTGCATTGAGTATTGTTGCAGTAAGGATGAGAATAAATGAAGCTTTTGCATGCGCAGTACAAATGTAAAAGTGTAGTTTCTTATTTTCTTCCTATCATTCTATCAATAAATCATATCCAGATTCCAGTAGCATTACTCTTGTACATAATACATGTGTGTCCTATGTCAATGGTGAGTGACAATACCAAGAATAAATTCATGTGATAAACAAGTCTACAACACAATGCGTTAACTGACTGACCTGATCTAGCACATAAATTCTCGAATGAGTTCAGTTTACTTGATGCAGCTCAATTCACAATCAGGGAAAAGATGGAAGAGGAATTATGTCATCAAATTTTATCTTGGGAATAAATAATCTATCTTTAGAGTGCCACTTCACTAGCTTTTAGACTCTCCTGTCATACATAGAAAAGATTGTCTCTAACGACCAAATATTATCTCCAATATCCTAGCAAACTAAGGAATCACCTCATAATCATTGATGCAATAACCCCAATGCCCTAAGGTATAAGCCCTTGTCTTGCCCAAAGAATGAGTAATTATAATCGCAAGGGAGTGTAATCTTCTTCTTATCCAATAATACAAACAAGAGGAGCAAGAGTCTTCGGTATAATGAACTAGCCTAACTCTTTAACTTGTTGAACCACTTAGCTCGTTGTGTTTTTACTTACTATTATTCACACACAAATACCCAACTCGTTTACTTGACACAAAAGTTTATTAAATTCTCCCTGCAAATACTTCTCGATTTCACACACCACAAGTGAGAAAATTAAAACGTAGTTGAAAATTGTCTCGATGTTCCGGCATGAAAAGTACGTTCATTTGCGGATTACTATTCAAAACAAGTACCCTTCCATGGTTTTTCTATTCAGAAAAGCATAGGGTTGGCACAGACAAGATTCAACATCCTAGATCGTAGCTCTTGAAGGTTCCATGGGGATCAAAGGTTGGGTCTGGAAATCAACCCACGGATCTATCACAAAATGTGTGAATGAACTCTGCTACTTGTCTTCGTCCTTTTCTTTTTAAATTTTTTTTTTTTAAAAAAAAATTGTCTTCGTGCTTTATCCCAAAGACCATAACTTATTGAGTGGATAACTGATAAAACGTGAAATATTGTTGTTTTGTGTCATTAACGGTTGTAACTCATTCAGTGATGGATCAATGACACCTATTCATATATTAGCGCGATACGGAAAAAGAATTTTCGGTATTGTAGATGGATCTTATTAACTTTTTATAAGTTAAAACTATAAGAAAAATTAATTAACCGAAATAATTTATTCAAAAATGCAATTTATTACAATTAGATTTCAAATATTAGAATTTAATTTTCAAGAAAAAAAAAATTCAAGAATTCAATTATCGAGAGAACACTGATTGAGAGGAAAAAATTAAAGAAAACATACAAATAACTATCAAACTCTGCGCAATTTTGCAAATAAATTTTGAGTTATAATGATCGGTAACTTGGTGTGTAAGTAAGAGAGATATGGAGGTAAAAGAAAGAATACAGAGAGGACAGCTACATTGAATCGTCTAAGAAAAGGTTAAGCATAAATTTTTAATTCATTAAAGAATCTAATTTTTTTACTAAAATATAACGAATAGTGCTATTGAGGCCTAAAAATATATCCTAAATTATTGACTTAGTAACACGACAATTGTGAGGGATCGACCTCCCCATTACCGGGGATATACCTCCCTCCAAGAGCAATCCTCCCCATTACCGGGGATATCCCGCTCTCCATCAAAGGATTTCGGCTGACCTGCGGGGCAAACCCCCACAGTAGCCTTTTACCTCTGTCCCACATCGGGAAAAGAGTCATCTCCCCACCCCCATATAAGCCGAAGTACCATATGAGAGCAGTACCCAAGTAGCACAGTGTGTTACTTGGGTACTGCTCTCATATGGTGCTTCGGCTTATATGGGGGTGAGGAGACGACTCTTTCCCCGATGTGGGACAGAGGTAAAGACTACTGTGGGGGTTTGCCCTGCAGGTCAGCCGAAATCTTTTGATGGAGAGCCAGATATCTCCGGTAATGAGGAGGATTGCTCTTGGAGGGAGGTATATCCCCGGTAATGGGGAGGTAGATCCCTCACAACAATAGAGATGTTAAACTAATATTATCCTAATAAAAACTCTTTAATTTATTTTTTGAAACCACATCACCTAACCTATTATTAGGTCACTAACTTAGTTTAGATTTTTAGACCCAAAAATTTTAGTGATATAGCAAATTTTCAAAAATTATAAATATAAAAAAATTCCAAAACTACTCATTATTAAAATAAAAATTGCACTACTTCCCCCACTACTCCTGATGTAAATCTGCCTCTTATGCTAATAATGTTTTTCTCCAGTTGAAACTCAAATACATATGATCTTTTAGATGAGTGGGTTCCACTGAAAAAGTTAATGAGATCCACTCATCTAAAGGATGATATGTATTTGGATTATAAATTTTTTGAGTTTCATTTTGATTGTGTATATATTGGTATCTGAAATTCCAAATTTCTAAGAACATAGTAATGGCTGCTTTTCAAAATAATTTTTTTTGGTCTTTGAATTACAGACAAACCATAATGGTGTGTTTATTATTATGGCGTATGGAAATATAAAAAGTGAGAGTGATGTATTTTTTATCTTTCAAGAAAAAATATTTTTTTCCCTCTTTTGTACCCGATAAAAGGGATGAAAAATAAGAATGACTGATTTACTTGTGTTTGAAATGGATGGCAATGTTGAAGGAAAGAAAAATTATAGATGGACACAGATAAATAAAGAGTATATATTAAGAAATATAAAAATAAATAAAATACGTTTTAACATACATACTTTTCTATCCAATTTTTGCTTGGAAGCAAGGTTAATCCTTTTACCTTTTTATAATTTTTTTTTTCTTAACTTTCTATCCTTTCAATCTTTGGAAGTGAGCTATAGAGCCCAATGATGTTAAGTAAGACTGATAATTGAACTGAATTATTCGGGTTTGGCTCGAGTTTAACTCGTTTTAAGCTTGGTTTGGGTTCAGTTCGTTTTCTAAACTAGTTGATCTTGAATAATTTTTTATGTTTGTTTAGAAAAATAAGTCTAAAAAACTCGGTTCGAACTCGCAAAACTCATCTCGGTTTGGACTTGACTCGTTTTTTAAATGATGCAAAGAAGCGGATAGAAACAAGATGCAATGAAAAAAGGGATAATGAAAATATACCGTGCAGCGTAAATAATGAGAAGTGAAAGATGCCTTCTTCAGAGATGGAAGAATTATGAATTCAAAAACAAGTCCTAATCAATAACCATCCCCATTAGAATAAAGCTTGTAGTTCAGCACCTTTAAAATAATGCTTAGCCAGCAAAAACCCAAACATGCTCTCAATCTTCACTTTCAATGTATGATATTTTATGGGTATGAAAAGATTAAATTATATAATTACAGAATGCAAAGAAAAAACAGAGGAGAAGACTAAAGGCAAATGTAATTGTCGATTCTTCACCTTTAGGACTCAACTACTTCACACGAAGTTATATCTTGTAAAAAATAATGGCGGCTTAGTACATGAGGTTCTTGTTCCTGGGGGGGCTAGGAGGGTGAGATGTGTGCAACTTTACTCCTGCATGCGCAGAAACTTTTTTTTTTTGCGAGTTGAACCCTTGACACCAGGTCATTACGAAATTATCAGCATAAAGAAACTATGGTGCTGATCAATGTTAAGGACTACCGTCTTAAAATCCATATTTGCAAAGGGCTACCAAGCTGCCAGGGCTGTGGATATTGATTGGTGCATTGTCTAACTAGAGAATTAATCTCAAGGGTTGCTGAGTACCATGGGACTTCATCTTGTACATTTCAAAACTCAAACTTTTGTAATTATGCATCGATCACTCCAACCAGAAAATGCATCATATCAATCACCAACCCCCTAAAAGACGATTATTCCCAGTTCTAAGAGGATGTAACAATTTTCTTTTATATTTAAACCTCTAAAGAAGTTGTGCAAGTGACTAGATCAATCGCATACTGTCTAAGTTATTGCTGGAAGCATCCTTGATTACTCTCATTTAAAAGTCTTTGCTCAAATAATCCCGTGTCAAGACGTATTTGGAATAGCAGTCATTAGTGAAACAAAAAGTCTTGCACAAACTATCGAAGTAACGCCATCCCAAACAGTCCAAAGATGATCTTATTCTAAAACTTGCTTTTCTTAGTGCAGTCCTCTTAAGTAAAAATTACAACAGAAAAAATTGAACATTATAAAGTAGTTTACTCTTTGAAGATTGGTACTTATTCTTAGGAGCTTGTAGCTGGCTTCACTCCTCCATACAACTACTTGTTCAGGACAAAAGATATGTCAATTTGAAGAAATATTATAATTCAACAACTAATATAAAAAAGCATGAGAATGTTGTTGCATAAGACTTGCCCACATAAGATGCTTTATAAACACAGTTAAAAGGTTCTGGATCAAGGGTTGAATATAATAAAAAATTATCAAAATGAAAGAAGAAAAACAACATTATGATAAAAATAAGGGAAACCCTGGTGGAGAAGAAAGAAATATGCTATGACTCAAAAAGAATTGACATCCCAACTGACAATTGTATATCTACAATTCATGAATCACCTTCATCGTGTTCTTGTCTCTTTTAATAGACAGGAAAGTTCTAACTGGTTTTTGGATTGATAAAGATGATGAAGAAGGAGCCTAGAAGGCTGGATTTTGGTGCAACCCCAGTAATCTGCCTACTTGTTCTCCCTTTGCTATATGCTGAATTTTTCGCATTGAATCCTGTTCCATTTGATCGATGTAAACACACATTTTAAACTTGCAGGCATTACATTGTTTGTAATTTTTGTCAATGTTTTTTTCTTTCTGAGGAAAAGTTAATGTTTCCGAGCTGATTTTTTTTTTCTTGTTGGGATTCCTTGGAAATGGCAGGGATGCAACACTTATCGAATTGGAGTGTTAGTCTCAGTACCAGAAAATTTGATGGAGTAGAAGAGAGCAAGTCCTTGAAATCTGTGTTTAGAAGACTAGTGAGAGGTTCACTCTTTTCTCTTTTTCTTCATTTTTTGTTTCCCAGTTATCCTAAAATGTTGCATGCTTCCTTTGAGGGGGCTTGTTTGAAAGATAGTAATGGACATTTTAAACATTCTGGTGTACAGCAGCTCCAATGCAAGGCTTTTATTATTGATTTCTAGTTGTTACATCAAATTAATGTAAATGTATGCAAACAGGAGAAGATCGAACTGAGCTTGAAGCCACTGGATTTGCATGTGATTCAGCCATTCACTCGGTTGTCTGTGTTGCAAATCGACCTGTAAGGATTGACACCCTCACAATGACTGTTCATGCACCATCTGGTCAACCTATGGTCCCTGGTAAAAGCGTGGTTCAACCATATGCAAGGCAAGAAGATGATAATCTTCTGAAAACAATTACACCAGTGACTATCGTTCACGGAAACATCACTCCACCAGCTTGTCATTACACCCACAATGTCCCAGCCGTAATCTTCTCATCCAGTGGCTTCACAGGAAACCTATTCCATGAATTCAATGAAATTATCATCCCTTTGTTCATAACAACTCGCCACTTTCAATCCAATGTTCGCTTCATCCTGGTCGATTACAGACCTTGGTTTGTCAGCAAATATTACAGGATTTTCTCACATTTGTCTCGGTACGAGGTTATGAATCCGGCTGCAAACAGAAGTGTACATTGCTTTCCAGGAGCGATAGTTGGGCTAAAGTTCCATGACAATCTGGCCATAAATTCTAGCGAAATCCCGGGAGGGTACTCCATGCCTGACTTCAAGGAGTTCCTCAGAAAATCATACAATCTGAAGATAAAGAATGTGTCAGAGATAGAAAGACCAGTGTTGGTCCTAATTTCTCGTCGGAAAACAAGAATGTTCCTGAATGAAGATGAAATGGTTGGTATGATGAAGGAGCTAGGCTTTCAAGTTGTCGTTGCCACAAGACCCAACAGGATGTCAAATTTGAACAAATTTTCCAAGGTGGTGAATTCAGGAAGTGTACTGATTGGAGCTCATGGTGCTGGCCTTGCAAATGAATTGTTCTTATCTGCCGGGGCGGTAATGGTGCAAGTGATGCCACTGGGGCTCAACTGGGCAGCGAACGCCTATTTTGGAGAACCGGCTCATGGGATGGGGGTGCAGTACTTGGAGTACAAGATCAAACCAGAGGAGAGCTCACTCCTTGATCTGTACGGACAAGATCACCCCATAATTGTCGATCCAGCATCCATATTCGCAAAGGGCTACCAAGCTGCTAGGGCCGTGTACGTTGATCAGCAGAATATGAAGATTAACATGGTGAGGTTTAGCAAGACCCTTGTTGAAGCATTAAGACTTACTGGATACTCAGCTCCTTCAAGTTAGTGTACTCTTCATGGATGATTATTTCGTTAGACAGAAGATACAGGCAAAGGTAGGGACCTGCATAATTATTCAGTATTGCACACTGATATTGCTCTGAAAATGTAATAAGATACAATCAGTATCAAACATCTTGAATGTCTAAACACTTGGTGCCCACCCCCACACACAAACAAGAGAACTACTCCAGGACTAAACATTAGGGGCTTTTATAGAGTGCATATAGAGGAAACTATGTAACAGAACCAGCAGAACTAGAGGTAAAACTATAAGACAATTCACTCCCTCGCACATACAGATCTAAACACAAAGTAATCCTTCATTTCGTGCATCTACAGGGGCCAACAGCAGAACACCTTCACAATGTTCTACATTCTAGTTGACAGACAAACATCATATCTGCTCTGTTTCTTGAAAGCTTCGGAGCATCATAGAAGCTGCGGATCTCTCTGCATCTTTTACACTCGACTTTTCATCGCCATCTTCAGACAGCACCCCTTCAAAAGCTTTTATTTGAACTGAGCATATGAATCTCTTCTTATGATCAGGACCTAGCTCTCTCTCAATTCTGCAGGCATAAACAAATGAACATCATGAAATGACAATTTGCATGCACAAAAATGAGCTGCCTTCCTATCATTCTGTATGCATGAAAGGAATAAGGTAAGGCTAACTCAGTAGTGCAAGCCTCCAACAAATTTTACCAGCTAAAGGAGCTGAAATCTTTGAAGCATTTTAGACTTGATCTACTACAACTATTGGATTGACTGTGAGATCTAGGGGCGGAGCCACCTTTGGACAAGGGTGGGCACTTGCTCACCATGACTTTTGGAAAACCCCTTTATATGATAGTAATTTGGGACCCTGATTTTGTTCATTTTAAGAATTTGTCCCTCCAAATTTTTTAAAACTTTGTATAATGGTAATAAACTTTTTATTTCTAACAAGTTAGTGGTCCATTGACCCTCTAAAACCAATTTCTACTCTTGAATCGAGTAAGATATATAAAAAACATCATAATGACCAATGATATTATATATTTTCTATTTGACGAATTATCCCCTATTTTTTTTATAAACAATTGTACAAGTGCTCTTAATTATTTTTCTACAAGTCAATAGCCCGTGCTCCAATCCAAAAATATTTTTTGCTATTTCAAACATTCAAATTTTTAACAAGACAGAGGATGATCTTAATTAAGTGTTGCAAAAAAATAAGAGATAATTATGCCATGGACTTGTGAGTGAGATTTGAAAGAATATTGTGTTCCACTTTTATAAATGATTGGGTTGAAATGTCTTTAGAATTTTTTTTGTATCTATTTTGTTTAGATAAAAAGAAACTGGTTTTCCAGTTCATGTAGCAATTTAGTCTTAAATCTGGATATATTTTATTGGACCTAAAATTTTATTATATCAATTGGTTAATTTTTGTAGTAGTATTTTGCCCCCCCTAACTGAAAAACTTGGCTCCGCCCCTAGTGGGCTCCATCCAATATTGGAACATACTGCTAATTCAACGGTTGTAATAAATTATGTTAACAAATTAAGTGGGCAAATTAGATCCAAGTATCATTACTCTTGTACATAATACACGTTTGTCCTATGTTAATGGTGAGAAAAGCTAATCAAAATGTAGTTGAAATCTGTCTCCATGTCTAGCACAAGATGTATGTGCATCGCCCTGTTACTATTCAAAACAAGAATTCTTCCATGCTCTTCTTAGTCAGAAAAGAAAGAGGGTTGGCACAGACAAGATCCTAAGACCTAGGAGAAAATCGTAATAACAATTCAATCATCTTCCAGCATTCCAAAAAAAAAAAAATTTCAATGTAACACGTGTCTTAGTTGAGCATGGTAGCCAAATAAAATGCATATTTGCTAGCAGAGGGACAATTAGCATATTAGCAAGCAGAGAGGCAACTAGAATATGTAAGACAATAATCTGTTATGTAGACCAAAACACAAGTTCTGGCGGTAATTACTTACGCAGCTATAACAAAGTTTACTGTCTAAATTAGAATTTCAAGCAAAATTAGCTCAATAATCAAGCAGAAGAATCATACCTATAACTTGGTTTTGGCCATTTGTTCTTGGCACAAAGCTCATATAACTTCTGTTTTGTGCCTTCCATCTCATTTGTTTGATTTAATTCATTGACAGGGTCGGTTGCCATTCTGTCATTTGTTGTAGTATCTGACAACTTTTGCAAAGCTTCCTCCGCTGCAAGCAGTTTTGATTTTTCTCGCTGCTCCGAACAACCAGAGGAAATAAATTCCCCATCCACACAAATGCTAGCACTGTGTTTCTCCCCTTCCCTCCACTGCCTTATATAAAGCATCTTTCCATTCTTCTGGCACAACTTAAAAAGCGTTTTCACCGTTTGTGGTTGTTGCTCGAGTACATCAAGCGTGACAATGGGGTCTAACAAACCTCTAAATTTCTGAAGCAAACAAAAATAGGTAGATAAATAAACTAACTGCCAAAAAAAAAAAAAAAGATTTGCTTATATCTTATAGAAGATTTTCATAAGTTTCAGTATTGAAACAACATTCAGACAAACATGCAACTAATTGTCATAAATTCCTGCTAGAAAACAAAACCATCAAGAAAAGATGCTCTTTATGTCTCTCAACACATCAGGATCTGAAATTCCAAATTCCCAAGAACATAGTAATGGCTGCTTCTTTCTATCTAAATTTTTTTGGTCTTTGAATTTAATGTGGCTCCCAATCACAATCAAGCTTTCATAAACTTCTATAAAAAAAACATGGACAAACTATAATGGTGTGTTTAGTAGGGTGTATGGAAAGCTGGAAGATAGATATTAAGAGTGATAAAATTTGTATCATTCAAGAGAGATATCCTTTCTTCCCTCTTTTGTACTAGATAGGAACCATGAAAAATATGGACCAATTTTTTTGAATTTAATATGGATGGAAATGTTGAAGGAAAGAAAAAGTATAAATGGATACATTATTATTGTATCTATTAATGAAATTAATGTGTACAAAGATAGGGGAATTACCCGACATTTGAAATATTACACACAAACCCCTTAAAGTTTGTACACGTGTAGCACATAGACCTCTGTTGTCAAGATTCTATATCCGTTAATAAATTATACCTAGACCCCCTAAAACTTAGAAGCATATAATACTTATACACCTTAAATTTAAAATGTTATACTTAAATCAAAAATACTCCAATCACTGATAGAATATCAAATATGTTAAATTTTCAATCAAAATTTATGTTATATTGTATCATTTATTCAAATAAAATCAAAAATAAAAAACTAATTTTTTAAGAAAAAATTGTAATTAGTATACAATTATATTCTGTATTAGAATAAAACTAAAAAAATCAAACAATAGATCTAAGTCATTCATAATAGAATATGAATTTTACAATCAGAATTCATATTCTATTATGTCATTTATTAAAATAAAATCAAAAATAAAAATCTATTTTTTTCTTAAAAAATTATAATTAGCATATAATTATACTATTTATTGGACTCTTAATTTAATCTCAAAAATCTAATTTTCATCTTCTATTATATCAAATTATGTCCTTTAATCCCCAATAAAAATCTTAAAATATCAACTATCATGTTATTTAAATTCTTAATTTAATCTGTGTAGCGTTACTGCAAGTAAAAAACACCACGCACCGTCCACAAAGTTTTCAAATCAAATCCACAATCAACATAGACAGCAGCTGCCACAGATTCCACAATGTCTGCAAGAATCTTCGGTGCCTTCACAGCTCCACCGTACAAAGTCGTCTCATCCTCTTGCTTAACCGCTGCAGTAAAATCCCTAACCTGAAAACAGACCCAAAACCATCAAATCATGAACTCATACACACTTGACACCTTTAGATAGAGATTCATGGGAATATAATTTCATACATTCTTATCAAGAACACCAATATTATGGCGTTGGACATATCTATACAGGCCGTGTCGGGCTGCCACACGAGCGAACCTCTCGGTGCTGACATTGAGGGAGCGGAGGGTAGTGAGTTGGCCAGAATCAATATTAGGGTAGGTGAAGAACAAATACTTGGAAACTGCGAGACCCAAAGCGGCGTCGCCGAAGAACTCGAGGCGTTGGTAAGTGGCAGAATTGGTGCGAGAAGAATGAGTTAAGGCCTCTTCTATTAGACTTTTGTCCTTAAACGTGTAATCGAGAAGTTTTTCAACTGCCCTAGCAGATGAATCCATGTTCATACATGCTTGAACTTCGTCGTCGTCGTCGACATCGATGTGGGCTTTGATCTCGTAGCCGACTGTTGTGTCCATGTTGGATTTGTTGCTTGAAAGATGAAACCAAGGGTTTTGGAGAGAGAATTTACAGAGAAAAATGAGGAAAGTGAAGACTTCAAGCTGAAGGAAAAGAAAAGAACCACTTTTGACTTGAGCATCCGTCTTTCGGCGTGGTCGGTTTATACTTTAATTCAGACAGCACTACGACACTGAGCTGTATCGGAAAATTTGTTACTCGAGTAAATTACACAATTAGTTTATGACCGTTTATGATAATTAAGTTTTTGATAAACTCTAAAATTTTAATAATTAAAACCCGTAACTAATTTTTATGTTAATTGAGTCTCTAAACTCTCAAATGTTTACATTTAACCCTTATATCACACTAAGACGGAATGTCTCTCGCGTTCACTATATAAATAACAAATTATAAATAATTTAGATTGTCCGTTCGAAACTTATCAAACGAAAAATCTCATTCTGTATTCTCATTAGCCGAAATTCTAAACATAAACCTCTTTTATACCCATCAAATGAAACAAATCAACAAACTATTTGATTTGGTGTAAAAAATAGATGACATAAATGTAGGTTTTTTGAAAAACTTGCTGATCTACTTTGTTTGATGATTACGAAAGAAATTTAAGTTCAGGGTTTTGGTTGATGAGCATAAGGAATAAGGTTTTTCATCTAATATGTTTCGAATGAACAATCTAAAATATTCCTAATTTGTTATCCTTGTAGTGAGCATGTTTAACAATCGTTAATTACTAAAATTTTAGAATTTAAAGGCTCAATTGACACAAAAATTAGTTCAAGTGCTTAATTAATAAAATTTAAGAATTTAAGGACTCAATTGACACAAAAATTAGTTCAAAAAATTTAATTGACACAAGGGTCATTTGTATAATTTACTCTTATTACTTTTAAATGTAAACTTACAATTAATTTAATTTTTTTTATAATTGATTATAAGATATTCGTCAATTTTTCAATGAATTTAATTTCTCGTTTGTTAGTTATAACCAATTATGTCTTTTGGACTCGTAACTTTTATTTTAAAAAATTATAAATATTAGTACCACTAGTATTCATCCTCTGATTTCTACTTTGAAAAAATATTTTGCGCACTCAGTTCTTATCTCATTGAACTGAGGACTGGCCAACACATCGATGATTTTTTAAAGACTGAGGATTTAGGCATAGAGATACGTAACGTAGATACATTAGCCATCCAATTAGTTACAGTCTGAAACACAGAACAAGACATTATCAGTTGCTTATATGGCTTTCAATACAGAGCAAAGAATGTAGTTGCCCAAAGAGACCTGAGGGCTAAAGTTAGAAGATAATTTACTCCCACATACACAACTCTAAAGCATAAAATGGTTCTCCATTTCAGGCATCTACAGGGGTCAACAGTAGAACACCTTCAATGTTCTAATTCTAGTTGACAGAATAACATCATGTATGCCTTGTTTCTAGTAAGTGTTGGAGCATCATAGAAGCTGCGGAGGCCTCTGCATTTTTTACCCTCCACTTTTCATCTCCCTCTACAGACAGCACAGCTTCTGTAGTTTCAATTTGAACTGAGCATATGAATCTCTTCTTATGATCAGGACCTGACTCTCTCTCAATTCTGCAGGCATAAACAAATGAACATCATGAAATGACAATTTGCATGCACAAGACAAACGTAAAAGTGTAGTTTGTAATGTCCTCCTATGCACGAAAGGAACAAGGAGGTAAGGCTAGCTCAATTGTGTAATCCTCCAAATTTTACCAGCTAAAGGAGCTGAAACTTTTAAGGGGTTTGTACATAATGGTGAGAAAACTTGATCAAAGTGTAGTTGAAACAACGTCTCGATGTCCAGCATGAAGAGAAGTATGCTTACATGCTCTTCTCATTAAGAAAAGAAGGGGGTTGTTGGCACAGACAAGGTCCTAGTTCCTAGGAGGAAACCCTACTCTAACAATTCAACCATCTTAAGAGTATTCCAATAATAAATTCAATGTCAAAAGTGTCTTAGTTGAACCTGAAAGCCAAATAAAATGCTAATTCACTAACAGAGGGTCAACTAGCATATTAGCAAGCCGAGGAGCTACAATGTGTAAGACTATAATTCGTTATGTCGATTGTCAAGTTACGCAGCCACATTGAATTCTATTGTCTTAATTAAAATCTAAATCAAATTAAATTAGCTCCATAATCAAGGAGAGGAATCATACCTATAACTTGGTTTTGGCCATTTCTTCTTGCCACAAAGTTCTTGTAACTTCTGTTTTGCTCCTTTCATCTCATCACTGATTGTAGAATATGACAACTTCTTCAGAGCTGCCTTGGCTGCATTAAGCTTCGCTTGTTTTGTCTGATCTGCACGACCAGAGGCAATAAATTTCCCATCTACACAAACACTAGTAATGTTTGTCTTCCCTTTCTTTCGATTCCTTATATCCAGCCGCTTTCTTTCCTTCTGGCATAGCTCAAAAGCATCGTCACCGGTTGTGGTTGTTGCTGGAGTACATCAAGTGTGACTATAGGTTCTAAAAAATATCGAAACACCTGAAGCAAACAAAAATAGACAGATATTATGGCTGATTTCAAGTAGAAGAAATTTGTAATTTCATTCTCCACACACTGATTAATTTAAAATTACCACGCACCCCCCACAAAATGTTCAAATCATAATCACAATCAATATATACAGCGGCTGCCAAAGATTCCACAATGTCCGCGAGAATTTTCGGTGCCCTCACATCTCCACCGTACACGTTCGTATCATCTTCTTGCTGAACCGCTTCAGTAAAATCCCTAACCTGAAAACATACCCGAAACCACCAAATCATGACCTATACACACTTGATATCTTTATAAATTTTGGTACCGTGCCCCTAAGTTTTGTGAGGAGGGATGAGATACAAGTTTTTAAAGTTTGTTTATAATAAAAAAAATTATAATTCTTTGGGTGATGTTAAAACTCTTGTAACTCAAAAAAGTATAAGGTAAAATATATTTTGTCGTATAGTGTATATTTAATCTCTAATATTTTAATTGTATTTATTTGGCCCCAAAAATTCCTTATTTGTATCTATATGGTTTAATCCTAAACGTTTATAAAAAAATCGTTAAGCGCCAATTATGTGGAATCAAATAGACACAAATTAGGAACTTTAGAGACCAAATAGATACAAATTAAAAATTTTAGGAATCAAATTAAAAAAAATTAAAAATCACGTAATAACCGTTTAATCGGAGCCGTCACAATTCTTTGATGAATGGACGACATAGATACAAATAAGGGTGTTCAAATTTATGATTACCGTAATTTCCTACCTTACCCAACCCTATTGATAGGTTAACCGAAAAAATCGCGCAGAGATGCAAAAGTTTTTTTGATCTTTCGATTAAATCGGGTAAGAATGCGGAATGCCCATCAAATTTTTGTAATCCTACTTTACCCGCATATATACATATATATATTTATATTTATTGGAGCAGTTATGATTTTTGATGTATTTTATATAGCTTAAACTTAAAATAGTTGTTATTATAATTGTGCAACAATTATGATGGATTGATGTTTATGCCCTGGGCTTTCTTGTATGTTATTGTAATTGTTATTGCAATTATTTTAGGTTTTAGTGTTATTGGTTTATTATGTTGTTAAATTAGTGCAGATTACTTAATTAAATTATTAAAATAATTCAAAAATTATTAATTGCAAAACGTGTTAACCCGATTTCCTATTTAACTTTCTATTCGATTAATTTGAACGAAAATCATGTAGCAATACTACAATTGATCGAGTAGAGTAGACCAAGAAAAAATTATTTCACAAAATATCGAGTAGGAAAACGAAATATCATATTTTCTACCCGTAAGATCGGTTAAACATCGCTAGATACAAATTACAAATCTACGACTAAATAGACACAATGATACGATTAAAAAGCACATAAACACAAAACTCTTGGACTATAAAGTGTATTTTATCCCAAATTATAAATGATACCAAAATTTATAATAAAGTTATATATGACTCCAAAAATTTGTAATTCCATACCTTGCCATCAAGAGCGGCAACATTACGGCGTTGGACATATGAATAGAGCCTGTGTCGGACGGCGACACGAGCGAACCTCTCAGTGCTGATATTGACGGTGCGGAGGAGAGTGAGTTGGCCAGGGTCAATTTCAGGGTAGATTATGAACAAATACTTGGAAATTGCGAGACCCAAAGCGGCATCGCCGAAGAACTCGAGGCGTTCGTAAGACTCGGAATCGATGTAGGAAGAATGAGTTAAGGCCTCTTCTAAGAGTTTTTTGTTCTGAAATCTGTAACCGAGAAGTTTTTCAACTGCTCTAACAGATGAATCCATGTCCACGCACGCAGGCTTGATCAGATTCGTCTTCGTCGTAGTCGAATGGTGCGTCCATGTTGGATTTGTTTCTTAAAACCGAGGGTTTTGGAGAGAAAGAGAGAGAGAGAGAGAAAGTGAAAGGCTTCGAGCTTAAGGAAAGGAAAGGAAAGGAAAAGTGAAAGCCTTGGACCTGAAGGGAAACAAAGAATGTTGAGGTTCCGTCTTCGGCTGGACTGTGCAGTCCTGTACTGTCTAAATTCCATTTTGGAAAATGGGTGTAATTTTTCTCTCACTGAGACACACCACATGACCATTCATTCAACCAAAAATTATTCAGACACATAAAATTAATTTTTTTTATAAAAAAAATTAACAAATTGATGAACATATTGGTAATGTATTGTATCGTATCGTAAAACTCACTAAAACATTTCTCTAAAAATATTTATGAGCTACTTATCCAAAAAACAAAATTGATGAGTTCAACAGGCCAACGTGAAGGTATATTTGTTTTAGATATTTAGAAAAAGAGACCGAATAAAAGAATATCATGAGCGACTTTATTTCCACTTATATTCTTATTTAGATATTTATTTTAGACCCAATATTATGACTATAAATAGTCCAAGATTAGATGAACAATATATTTAATACCATAAGAATTTCTTAAATAAATTTCAACTATTTGATAAGTTAAAATAGTATTTGTGTAAAATATATATTTTATTCTGACAAATCCACATCTAAATACAAACATGGTTATGATTGTACTAATTTAAAGTTCTTGATAATTTTGATAGTTATACCATCTGCATGGGAGAGTTTCCAGCA